CAACTTACACACAAACATTGCATTTGAAGGATTTCATCTTTCATTTTTAGATGAAAAATCTCTTTATCTGGAAGTACTAGAAGTTGCTTTGGATAAAAGACTGTTAAATGGCAACATCATTAAATTCAACCTCTGCTGAGTATAAAACCAACCAAACTCGATTAAAAAACTCCCTATGCCGTTTCCCAGACATAAAAGCTGGGTAGCTTATGTTAACATGTGAACTGTTCTCAGGATTACCTGTATTTTATGAGCAGAATCTATGCAAATCTGCCCTGATTCTGTGGCTCATGGGAATCAAAGCATATTATTATATGAATGCAGCATCTACATCATTGAAATTACCACTTTATGCAGCTCTGAAGCCTGCTGAATGCAACCGCACTTTAAAATGAGTTTTCTCATGTATATTTCCCCTGGGATGGAGGGGCTTGATATAGTTCTGTTTTCAAGGGTTTATATCTATACGTCCTTTCTTACGCTCATTAATCAAACGAGGCTTTGACTTTTACAGAATACAGGCCAAATGCAGGATTTTGTACAAAATGTTAGTGGTTGCACTACACACAGGCTTTTTGTACTTGACAGTTTTATCTATATTTATTAGTGGTGTTTTTGAAGTCAAGTATCACTCGAAGTAATAAAACAAAGATTATCAGAGTATGTTTTAAAAGAAAGTGAAAATTGGGGATTAAACTACCTTAAAGAAATAGTTCACCCAAAAAACTAAAATTTGCTGAAAATGTGCTCACCCAAGATATAGATGAGTTTGTTTCTTCATCAGATTTGGAGAAATGTAGCATTGCGTCTCTTGCTCACCAATGGATGCTCTGCAGTGAATGGGTGCTGTCAAAATGAGAGTCCAAACAGCTGATAAAAACATCACAATAATCCACACCAATCCAGTACATCAACTGAAGTGAAACAAAAACTTTTTGTAAGAAACAAATCCATCATTAAGATGTTTTTTAAACTAAAATATGAGTCCATAATCCATAATAACTCTTCCTCCAGTGAAAAAGCCCATCTCCTGTTGTCTCTCACCTCAAAATCCACCCACATATTTGTTTAGAGCTGTTTTGGACTGTTTTGGCTTGTAAACTGTGCTTGATCTGTGCAGATTTCTCTCCTGATTCAGACCAGACCACTTTTTCACTGGAGGAAGCGTTATTATGGATTATGGACTATTGTAAATGGAAGCAATGGTTCAAAGTTAAAAATGTCTTGATGGATTTGTTTCAGCTTTTGTCTTCTCAAGATGTTAACTTGATGGACTGTTGATGTTTTTATCAGCTGTTTGGACTCTCATTCTGATGGCACCCATTCACACTGCAGAGGATCCATTGGAGAGCAAGTGATGGAATGCTACATTTGTTCCAGAAACATATATACTATTTTACAGTAAATTTCTTATTCCTTTGAACCGTTTTGATGCTGCAGTGTGGCTATTTCCCCCAGGCACAGAGGTAAATAAAGGTTACTCCAGTCTGCTTTCATATTGAGAGCATGCATGCATCTGCATGCGTATGTGTTTGTACAAGCATGAGCATTACTCTGGCTGTCTTTTTTCCCGTCCCCCAGTGTGCACGTATCTCAGTGGAGATGCACTTCAGACATACACTCTCCACACGGCACACCACATAAATCTTTTAATACTCCCACCACTGAGATTCTTCACCGCAACTCAGAGAAATCTCTTAATTATGGCACTTAACATAGCACACGATAGCTGCAGCCACGCCGCAGAGCGCATAATTCACTGCGCCGAGAGCCCAGACCTCAAAAACACTGAGCGTGAAGATGGAATGAAGACAGAATGTTTTTATATCCGTGATGCTGTGTGAGGAATCACAAAGAAGGGCTCTTGAGAAAAAGCCCTTAAGCAAACAGTTTCTGTACCACAAAAGGACAAAATAAAATGAAAGACAATTTCAAGGGCTTCTCAAGCGTTAACATTCAACCTGGAGTGCATGAATGTGGGCATTTTTAAACATTAACAGAATATCAAGCTCAATATCTTACAATGACTTATCTGAACTTGAACATCAATAAGAGCTGTAATATTATTGCAAAATTCTGAGTCAAAATTTAGGACAGCTCAGCTCAGGCTGCTTAAATTCACTTTTAGACGAGGATGAAAATCTGCACATTAAGTGTTTTTGTGCCCTGTTTTCGATCATTCTTTCCTGAGGACGCAATCCTTCAGTGGACAGCTGCAGACTTCAATACTCAGTAATTATTTATACACACGTGCACTAAATTTAAAGAAAGCAAGTATTTTTGACAGATGTACACTCTTGGAATGTCAGGATTCTGACAACATTATACATGTTTTCCTATAATAACAGATATCACAACTAACGGGGAACATTTTCTCAACGTTATGAAAATGTTCCAGTAAAATTAATAATGTTCATTCATTCAAAGTTATCTGGTCTTTAATAATGTTCAAAACATTAGCATAGACATTTATTCATTGCTCGTGGAACTTTTATTTCTGAAATATTTTAGTTGGACTTATTTTTTAAATGTTGCTACTTTTTCAGAATGTTCTGAGAAAAGTAACATTCAAAAGTAGCATTCCCACAATGTTTACAATTTATTTTTATTTTTTTTACTGGATGTTTAGAATGTTCAGCGAACATTGAGAAATAATATTTTCGCAACCTTATGGGAACGTTAGCAAAACGTTATTAGAACATATTTTTGTTAGCTGGGATGCCGCTGTTTTGTATTATCAAAATATTTCACAGCCATAGCTGTAACATAAAACAGGAAAATAACTTTATACTTGATGATGGCAACTTAATTTCCTTCTTTCAGTTTCCACTGGCTTAAAAAAATGCTTCTTTATCAAAAATGATCTATGTAGAAAGTCACCGATGCCATCTAAAATGGTGATTCCCAACAATTAGGGGGTCTCAACAAACTTACAAATGTCCAAAAATGATTTTAAATTATCTAAAATATGCTATTGTTAAAAGACTCCAGCTTAATTAAAAGCTAAAACCAATCAATTCAAAATGCACAACATGTAAACTGACATTATATGCTGTTGTATATTATATGCTGTTCATATAATGTTGGTCATTCTCAGCCCCAGAGGCGCCAAATGAGTCCTGAGGCCTTCAAGTATTATTTTGAACAATGGAGAGCATCACAAAGATCTCAGGAAGGTTAAAAAACACTGATCTTAGACTTTAAAGAGATGCATTTAATGCAGAACTGTCATCTACTGAGCCAATGACTGTCTAGGCAGCTGGCATCTGTTATGGACGCAGCCAATGTGTGTAATGGAATTAACTGACTACTTAAATCAACCTATATTTAACATGGATATGATCACTGAAACAGCTGGTTAACCATTAAAATCCATAAAGCCACTCCAAACAAATCATACTGCTACACAATGCATTTCTGAAATGATCAGTATGATTTTAACGGCATGGTAGTGTAATCAGGGTGGGAAATTAGCACTCGCCACCAGCCAAAGATGGGTATTTTTCACAATTTTTCCTTATCTTACATCCACTGTGATGAGCAATATCATGTCAGATCGGCTGCTGACAATAAACAAGTAGCACTGATTATATTTTAAGCAACAGTCTTCAAAAATACTCCAAAAAAGGAAAGATGTCCAGTTGCTTTGGCACTGCACACTAGAATGAAATGTGCATTTCAAATGCACATCTTAATAGTTGCATGCAAGTTGAACACATCCAATAGATGAGATTTCCAGCATTAAAATAGCTTACAAAAAATCTATTATATAAATAGCTTTAGGGGCCTAAACAACAGTGGTTTAATTTCATAGACAATGCAAGCTATTGCATGCACTTAAAAAAGAACAAAGGCTGGAAAAACTCTTCATTCAGCAAAACAGTTAATTTGTCACCCTGCCTAATAACTAGAACTAAACAGACTAAGACAGGCAGTAACCCCAAGATTAATTTAAAGAAATCCCCAATGCTTTTTCCCAAAGATTTCCCCATAGTAAGATCCGGATGGTGGTGAACAGAGATGCTTATTCACTTGAAGCGCAAAGGACTGAGCAGTAAACAGCGCTCTACCTCCACCTGTCGTTCTGACAAAGATACCAATCTAGAACGCGAGCGTTAAAATGAACGAAGCTGTTGTACAAACGCGCGAAGTGGAGAAGTAAACGAATTATTTTAATAAAGGGGGGGGGGCGTTCTGATCACCTTCGTTCGTTATAAGAGGAGCGTTTCCATCGCTCTTTCTCAAGCGTTGAAACTCTCAGTCACTGATGTACACGGTCCACAGAAACCAACAAACAGCTTTTGAAATAAATCAGTCGCGTTGTAAATAAACGCGATGAAGTGTCACCTCCAAACGCGCGTGCCAGGATTTAATAAGCGTTCTTCGGACTTTACAACCGTTATAAAACATTACAGCGCACATTCTTATGAATAAATCCATCAAGTTACAAAAGACAGATGAAAACTGAGAACAAGCTGGACCAACAAATATAAATCAATCAAATTATGAGGAAAACGACAAGTGCGCGTTTCAAATAATTTAACGCGGGAACGAAATAACGGTTAAAAGTATGAGGGGGCATAATAACGCACTGATTACGGGCGGATTATTTTCTTTTAGAGTACATTGATCGCTCTGTAAACAAAATAAATCATATTTCATAACATCCGATCAGCTGAAGTCTGATAACATTGATGTTTTCCTCAGAAGATGAACGTTTAATGCAGAAACCGCGCGTTTACCACACACATCATGTGCCAATCATAAATTATCGCCAAGGAATCAACAGTAAACACCATGACACGCATTTATTCTCCTCACAGGATCTTCTCGCTGAAATAGCAGCACAACCGTTGTCTTTAATCCAGTGTCCATCCATTTAACACCCAAAACCACCCATTCTCCCCTCAGTCATACCGAGGACATACAGAGCCGAAGCTGCCCAACTTATGGCAGCTGTTTGACTGCCCACTCAAATGTGTAAATGTTGATTTGTTTACCTTGACAGCCGCAGAGCAGCAATCCCAGCAGACAGGTGAATTTGAGGATCATTTTCAGCAGGTGAGTGACGGACAGCCGCTTGTGTCGCGAGTTGAAACCTCAGTGAGCCGAATGAAAGTAGCGAATCCAGCTCTCTCTCTCTATCTCTCTCTCCTCTCTCTCTCCTCTCTCTCTCACTCACTCTCTCCTCTCTCTCT